AAAGCTTATGCTCAAATAAATGTGTTAGTCTCTAAGGTGCCACAAGGACTCCTGTTCTTTTTGCGGATACAGACTAACACGGCTGCTACTCTGAAACCTTCAAATAAAAGGGCTGTTATAAAGAAGACGGTGATCACTTGTTCTCCATGTACACTGAAGGTAGGACAAGAAGTAATGGGCTTAATCTGCAGCAAGGGAGATTTAGGTAGATATTAGGAAAAACTTTCTAACTATAAGGATAGTTAAGAAGTGGAATAGGCTTACAGTCATTGGAGGTTTTTAAGAACAGGCTGGACAGACACCTGTCAGGGATGGCCTAGGTTTACTCAATAGTGCCTCAGCGCAGGGGACTGAACGTGACCACCTACGTTTCTGTGATTCTAAATTCTTCAGTCTTTGAAGCACAGAGTACTTCAGCCACCAAAAACAACAAGGAGTCTGGTGGCACCTTTAAGTCTTTAAGGTGCCACCAGACTCCTTGTTGTTTTTGTAGATACAGACTAACACGGCTACCCCCTGATACTTTCAGCCACCAAAGAGCACGCCAGTCAGTTTCACATTGGGGCTGGAACAGGTGTTGCCTAAATGACAACAGGACCTATTGCAAGTAACTGACCTGATGCCAAATACAATATATCCAAGGGCAGCAGTGATCAGCATAGCTTCAGTGAAAAGAGCTAAAAGCTGCCTGGGGCAGGCAGTTCAGAAAGGGAGGGAGAGAGGGAGGAGAGGAAAGTCCCAAACAGAAGAAATGGGGGAAGAAAGAGTATAACACAGGAGGAAAAGCAACGTTCAGAAATAGGATAGACCTTGAGCCCCTTATGGGCACCCCACCCCCACCTCTGGGTGCTCCCCCCCCGCACCCCCCTCCCCCCACAGGCACCCCACCCCCCCCTCTGGGCACTCCCCCCACAAGCACCCCACTTCCCCCATCGGCACCCGACCCCCACCTCTGGGTGCTCCCCACAGGCACCCCGCTCCCCCCATGGGTGCCCCACCTCTGGGCGCTCCCCCCACCTGTGAGCACCCCCGGGCTGCCAGGCAGACGGAGAAGGGGGCGGCGGATCTGCGCACCCCCAACGCCCGGGCAATCACCCCGGACGCCCCTCACCGTGGCCCGGGCCAGGACGAACACGGCCTCCTGGCTCGCCAGGCTCACGTCGGGGTCGGCTTTGACCAGCGCCTTCACCCGGGCCAGGGGCAGCCGCGCCAGGCGCAGCGGGGCCGCGCACAGCGACCCCGAGCCCGGCTCCTCCGCGGGGGGCGCGACCCCGACTCCCGGATCCGCCGCCGCCGCCATCCCGGACACAGGCGCCCAGCGCGCCTGCGCACCAGCCGCCCGCGCGCCCCACCGACGAGACCGCGCGCGCAGTTCCCCCTTCCCTCATGATCCCCGCCCCCTCGTGAGTTTATCTATGCCCCACGTGTGCTGTCGCCCCTCCCCGTCCCCCTGGCAACGTGGCGCGCAGCCCAGCCCGCTAGGCCCACGTGGACCCTGTGGAGCCCAGAGCGCTGGGGGTCTCCGTGGGCGGGGGGAGTCTTGGTGCTTATATGGCCTCCCCAGGGCACCTCAAAGCTGCCCCCCCCGGCCAGAGGAAGGGGCCCGCTAGCCCAGGGGCCAGCGCCGGGTGCTGGCGGGGGCGTGAACAGAACAGGGCGATTTATCGACTGAGCCATCCCCTGCTTCGGGCAGAGGGCGGTGTGGGGGCACCAGGAGCACGGGGTTCCTGCCTGACCATTTTGGCTAATAGCCATTGACAGACCTGCCTCCAGGAGCATCTCTCGTTCTTTTTGAACCCGTTAGCCAGGGGCAGCGGGTGAAGCGCCACTTTGGGGAGGCTAGTAGTCCAATGGCCCCGCCCCTTCCATACAAGGCCCCGCCCCTGAGCCCCCATCTCCTCCTGCGCCCCCTCCCCCCCATGGCTGGAGGAGTCCCAGCCGGCTGGCCTAAGCACCGTCCTGAGCCATCCCTGGCAGCGCTGGCCAAGCCCCAAGCTCCAGGGCAGGGCTGGGGAGCTGAGCCCCCACTTGCTTCAGAGGAGGGGGGGGCACAGCATGGGAGGGGCCACAGCCTGGGTTAGGTATCAGAGGGGTAGCCGTGTTAGTCTGGATCTGTAAAAAGCGACAAGGAGTCCTGTGTGGTGTTTCACCCAGGAAAGCTTATGCTCCAATACATCTGTTAGTCTATAAGGTGCCACAGGACTCCTTGTTGCTTTTTAGCCTAGATTAGGGGAGGCTTAGCTTTCCCTGGCCTATGGTACCCGGCGCCCCCGCCTTTAGCCTTCACAACATCCCCTGGCAACGGGCCACAGGATGACTGTGCATTGTGCATTGTGTAGGTTTGTTTTAAACCTGCTGCCTATTCATTTCATTGGGTGGCCCCTAGTTCTTGTGTTATGTGAAGGGGTAAATAACACTTCTCTATTCACTTTCTCCACCCCAGTCATGTAGCGCCCCTTCTTCATCTGTTTTCTAGGATGAAGAATCCCAGTCTTCTTAACCTCTCCTCATACAGAAGCTGCTCCATCCATCCAATCATTTTTGTTGCCCTTCTCTGTACGTTTTCTAATTCTATTTTTTTTCAGATGGGGCGACCAGAACTGCCTGCAGTGTTCAAAGTGTGGGCGTACCATGGATTTATGTAGTAGCATTATGAGAGTTTTTTCTGTCTTCTTATTTAGCCCTTTCCTCATGGGCGGCAGGTGGAGCCCACTTTGGGGAGGCTTGCCCCTGGATCCGCCCCTTCCATCCACCCTCCTCTGTGGCCGGAGCCCTGAGCCCCCCTCCCTCCCTCCGCGGCCTGAGACCCCCCTGCCACGGCCCCGAGCCCTGAGCTCCCCTCCCCCCCCCCCCCCCCCCCCCCGCCCCCCCCCCCCCGTGGCTAGAGCCCTGAGCCCCCCAATCCCCCTCCGTGGCCGGAGCCCTGAGACCCCCTGCTCCTCCACCATGGCCGGAGCCATGAGACTCCCTGCCCCGCACCCTGCAGCCCAAGCCCCGAGACCCCTCTGCCCCTCCCTCCATAGCCAGAGCCCAAGTCCCCCTCCCCCTGTAGCCCAAGACCCCCTGGCTCCCTCCACGTCCAAAGCCCTTAGACCCCCTGCCCCTCCCGGTCATCACAACCCAACTCTCT